GTTTGATTGCCACCCTAAATAAATATATAGAATTATTCTGTCTTCCAATATTATTTTATGGAAAGTAATAGACAGCTTTTGGGTAACCAGGAGAATATGTTCTCCTTAACTTCTTTTAAGCATGTATAACCATAGAAAATAAAACATGTAAGTTTTACGTTAAAAAGCACTAAGCTGTGAATCAAAAACTGTGCTTAATATGTACTATATACATATATCCAAAGCAAACTGGGTTTACAAATGAAAATTTTACCTGAAAGATGTCTGTTTTATAATTGTTTTTACCTAGACATAAAATATTTAGAAAATATTTTACCTAATTATGTCTCTATTGCCACTGTTGTAATTTTAAAATTATATGCAAATATTAAGTAGTCCATTATACCCAAGATAGTTATATAATTCATAGAAACATTAACGTAATTATATGCACTAGATGGAGAAGCTCTGTAGTTTTACGAAGTTTTATGACTCTGTTATCTATATTTAAATCTGACAATATTGCCAAAATAAAATTTTAAACCACTGTGTTTTCAAGGTACGTTTCCTTCTTAGTAGAACCAAGATTATAAACAACTGTGTTATGGAAACTCTTATTAAAGATACATTTATTGCAATTGACTTGTCTGAGGTTTTGGAAACACCAATTCTACTACCCTAAATTTTGGGGTGCAATCAGTGTGGTCTGAATAGACACTGAAGCCTCAAAAAGGCACTTTGGGAACAACTTGAGAAACTCAAGTGCAGTAAATCATTGCAGCCCAGATGGTATTCATCTCAGAGTTCTGAGGGGAAACAAGTTGTGAAAGAAGAGAGCAAGCAGACAGGGATACGTAAAAATTGCAGTGTTGGTTCCCACAGGGTACATGCCAACCTGGCACTGCCTTTAAAGCAGTGGTGCCATTGTTTGACCATTAGTCACTCAGATTTGATTGCTGCATTTGTTGAGCTTACAACTTGAAAAATTTAGAACATTTTTATTCTAAAAAATAAAAAAGAAATATTCTATTCACTCAAGTCATTTGTATTCATGTCACTGTACATGGCAATGAAAAGGGATGCATGTTTTGATAACCTCAAGATCTGTTTCTCAGGACTCTCACAGGGAATTCAAAAGTAGGAACAGACGCAAGCCTCAGCTTTGGAGTAATCACAAAGTCCCTGTTTTCTTACTGCCCTAAAGCCCTTTCCAGACAGACCTTTCTGACTCACCTTGAGGAATTTCAGCTGGTACTGCTCTGCTGACTCCCGGGTCCCAGGAACACCTGTGGATTTTATGGAAAGGATTCTATGAAGGGAAAGAGGCTGTGGGTAAATATGCAGAAGCAGCTAGGGGTACAAAAGCTTATTAGGAAAGAGACTACTCTGGAAAGAATTTCATCAGTGGTCAAATTATTCTGCAGGGAGGTCTGTGATCTGTGCCACCTGGTGATCTGGCTGTCCTTTCCTACATCATTTCCCCCCGCAGAAATCACAAGGGTAAACCTGCTTTCTCATCTGGGATGAGAGAGATGTAAGGAAGATATTGGACACCTTGAAATTTAATGGTTCTAGCTTGATCCCACTTACCAGTGCCAGAATCATATTTTCCAGTTGACTATTAGGTGATTTCACATGGATATGTCACTGTTAGGAAGTCAATTGATCTAAACTTGAAATATTTACCAGTGTCAGTCAGGGAACCAACAGGAAGCAGATGGCATACTCCAATTAGAATAAACTGCAAGTTATCTCAAATTGGATGGCTCTTAAGAATGCTTGATTTAGATATTCTTTATACAGGTGTAGGTAGTTGAAAAACCTACAACCTATGTAGGCATAGTCCAGTAACTCAGGTATGGCAACAACTGAGCTGTTAACACCACTAAGCCTGCAGGGAGAAGGCTGGAAAGGTTTATTGCCATCCAGGAGAGATGTGTGTAGAAAAGGCCACACTGATAAAAACACTTGAAGGAAACAGCCAACCTGTGGGGACATCTCGGCAAGGAGTCCAGGAGAATTTCTCCCCCATTTTCTACCGTATCTCACTATTGACTGAACCAAATGGAAGCCAGAGGACAAAGGGGCCTATGTTGCATAAATGTCAGCCTCCTAGGGGTGTATGACAGGTGGAGGAAGATTGGAACAGACCCTAAAATAACTAGCATATTCCCCTTTCCCATTCCAAGTTACAATTGTATGAGCCAGTTTTCTAATTGGCAACGTGGTTTACCTAACGGCACAAATCAGAATATACTCAACACTCATTCCTACCATGATCCTTACAATCTCAACTCATACAAATATCTGACCCCAAGTTTCCATTGATTCTGAATTGTGAGATTTATGAAGTGCCTTCCATTCTCTCACATCACTGCTAACTTTTCTCTTCACATCACTCTACCATCACTCCAGCCTGTTCACTTCTTTATGGCATCTATCACTTTCAAAAATTACCTTGTTTACTTTGTTTTTCAAATTTACTGGAAGACTGTGCTCAGGATTGTATCTCCAGTTCCTAGTACAGTGGCTGATACGTAATATATGCTTGATAAGTAAGTATTGAATGAATAAATTAGTGCAGGCTTTCAATATTTATCAGCTATTTTAGTACACTTTAAAGCGCCTCTTCAGCATCCGTTTTAGTCCTTTATAGTTCACCATTTCTATGTCTGCTAGCATAACTTTTTTTATTCAAAAATCTCCTTAAAATTATTTTTGCAGCACTTTGTAGGATTCCAAATGAAGCAATTCTGTCACTGAACACTTATTTATCGAGCATATGCTATGTGCTAAGGAATAGAAAACAAAGATGAGCCAACAGACTCAATCAGGGTGCTTACAATTTGCTAAGCAAAAATAATAAATGAGGCCACGTCAGTGAAGTGTAGGAGTCTAAGATGGGGGAGGACCAGGTGCTGGGAAGCACTGAACAAGAATCCTTGACCTACAGGAAAGGAAATGTTAGGAAAGGCTTCCCAGAGGAATGAAGAATAAAAGAAGACAATGAAGATGGGGACCACGTCCTAAGAGGCCCACACTCCACGTTTATAGTGTCTCCTTAGCCTAGTATCTCAGTGTCTTAGTCCTGATGTTTACTAGCTGTATGTCCTACACTTTCTCAATTTGGACTGTCTGCTCTAGAGACAGGTGACTATTTAGTGTTCCCTAAATGCTTCATGCTGATTCCCCCTTCTGTGGTTTTGCCTACTTATTCCTGCTGTCCTAAGAGACAAAATTCTGTTTCTTAGGGAAGCCATCCATTTTACACTCTGTTCTCCCCTTCTCTGCTCAACACAAGCATGTTTCTAGAAGCAACTTGACTTCTTTTCTCAGTTTTCCAGAGAACAGTTTGCATTTTCCCAGTCATTGCCAAGCCTAAATTAAATGTCAGTGATTTGGAGAAGGAAATCCCTGCATTCTCTTCACGTTAATACTCTGCATTAGCCACTGGAATATATAGAACTCCTTGAGAAAAATCTGTAACTTATCGATTTATTCTTCTCTGTTCTAAAAGATAAATGATGGCTTCTCAATTACTTTGAGTAAACATAGCCAAATGTTAACTTTAAATTTAATTTAATGTAGACAGTTTAATCTGAAGTGTAGTGAATAGCAATAGAAATGAGACCAAATGAACAGAAAATATTTGAATTTTAATTGTAAATATGGCATGGTTAGTATGATATCCTCAGGTTATTGAATATTTGTGCTTCTGTTCCACTAAAGATAATACAACCTCATGGTTATTCTGAGTAATAAGTGCTAGTATAATTGCAGGCAGTTGAAAAGCAAATATGTATTAAAATTCTAACTAATAAACGTATTTTCTACAATTTTCTAATCACAATTATACTCTGACGTCAAACCAGGCCAAAAGTCACAGTATAGGAACATTATAAAAAGTAACAATTATGGTGTTACTTTATTATTGCAGAAGTTCCTCCTAATTAGCCTAGAAAGATTTAACTCACAAGAATCTATCATTATTGAAGCGCATATTGACTTTTTAAGCCAGCGTAGTTGTTTTACATTTTATGGGAGTAAAATGAAGATATCAAGGTGAAAAAGTAAAATTCAGTGGTATTCAAATTACAAAATTCAAACTGACAATGTCACTTCCCACTTTTTTAAGGATTTCACTTAATCAAATATATATAGGAACTTAAAGTCAATGCTAATACGTTAGTGACTGATTTCAAAATGGTTGAAAATATACAAATAACGCAGACACTGGATATATGAATTAACTTTTTTCTTGGAAAGTTAATGAGAACTTAAGTAATTGATCAGAAAACCTGCTATGTCATATTATGATGCAAATAATTAATATTATATGGGTTTATATTCATCATAAAGCAAACTCTGCAAAATGTGACTTGGGATAACATTTTTTGTCTTCAAGGGAAACTTTATTCCTATTCCAGTGTTGTAAAATATACCACTGTATATTTTTTCTTGAGTATTAAGAAAAAAATAACATCATCATGCCATATTATTATACTTAAAGCAATATTTTTCAGTCTATTTTAACATTTTCTTTCTCGATGACAGATGGAATAGTGTGTTGACCAGCTGTAGGATTTGCCTTAAAGAAAGTGATTGTTGGCTCAACGTGGTTGCTCACGCCTGTAATCTCAGCACTTTGGGAGGCTGAGGCAGGTGGATCACCTAAGGTCAGAAGTTTGAGACCATCCTGGCCAATTTGGCGAAACCCCATCTCTACTAAAAATACAAAAAATTAGCTGGGCATGGTGGTGGGTGCCTATAATCCCAGCTACTCAGGAGGATGAGGCAGGAAAATCGCTTGAATCTGGGAGGCGGAGGTTGCAGTGAGCCAAGATTGAGCCATTGCTCTCCAGCCTGGGCAACAAGAGCAAAACTTCACCTCGAAAAAGAAAAGAAAAAAAGAAAAAGAAAAAGATGAAAAAGAAAAAGGGAGGGGAGGAGAGGGGAGGGGAAGGCGGGGGGGGGGGGGGGGGGGGAGGGGGGGGGGGGGGAGGGAAGGGAAGGGAAGGGAAGGGAAGGGAAGGGAAGGGAAGTGATTGTTATGGGTCCGTGACTCCTAATGAATCAGAGTTCTCCAGGTACTTGGCTCAGTGAAGGATCTCTTGCTTTACTTGATATTCTGGAAGTTCTGTATAAAAGTAAAAGTAAAAGTTAACAACATGCCATTTTAAGGATTTCACAAATGTGCTGTGTGTTTGCATTTTTGCTGGAGTCTGCACCCTGGAGGAAAAAATTAATCAAGTTCCAGAATGTAAAGTCCCAACAGTAAAATATCGTATTGTCTTTCTAGGGAGCATCACACCTTTAACTATGATGTCCAAGTAATCATTTTTTAAAAAGTCCTTTCTTTTCACAAATATTTAAATTTTTAGTTGTTTCTCTGCAAACTTCTTTGAAGGCTCAGGGCTGTTTGAATATAGCATAACATGAAACAAATGCAACTACCTTATTCTTTACAGAAGACAGGTATTCACGTGGGTTAGGCCTGACCATCAGGCGAGTGAACAATGTCTGAAACAGCAACCATTCTTTCTTTAGGGAGCATTATTTATCTCCAGGTGTGGGGCAACACAGGTTTTGTTGCCAATGATGCTTTTGTTTCAGTTTGTTCTTTTTATAATTGCTTCTAATTTTGTCTCTTTTATCCTGGGCTTGGGATTTTCAGATTATACATTATGATAAATTTTAAATTATATGAAAATAATGTGTAACTAAAGACAAATATATTTAATAGTATGAATAACTTGCTTTAAAATACACATTAGAATAAATTCAAAATATTTGTCCATAATAATAACACCCTCACTGCCGTCCAAAAAAGGGATATGCCTTCTGTGCAGGTGAGAAAAAATATGCAGTGACAGCGAATACATAGGGAATTACGAGTAGTCTATACCTTATACCTGTAGCACAACAGTAATATCTAAAAACCAGTGAGATCATGGAACAGGTGTAAATTTTATACATTCTGTATGTGATTAAGAAGTGAAGATTGAGAACCATTAAAGATGTTTTTGCTGGGCCAGAAAACTGTCCATATTTTTTTGTAACAATGTTTGTCATGGAATATCTAGGCAAGAACAGTAACTAAACAGTGTTCTCAAGTACTTAAAACCAAATAAAGTAAACCTTAATAAATTCCAAATGCTATTTATCCCTCTTAGCAATGGACTCTAATTATTTGTCTTTCAAACCAAATGTTAGAACCCATGGAATATCTTCTCATACAAATACAACTTTTACAGCCTTGGAGAAAAGCAGTGTGTTTGGTACTGGTTTTAGTTAACATCAAATTAAATGCTTAGAGGAGTTGGGTCCAAACAGTGGATACATTTTGTTTAGCTGGCATTGCGTTTAAAAATAAATAAATTAGGATGTTCATATGTACCTAACCCCTTGGTATCACCAAACACCTTCTCATGCCAGTCTTTTATTTGCCTAATTGTCAAGGCCTTTTGAAGTCTGAGATCTCTGGAGGAGCAAGATATGTTTACATGCATTGTATGGTTGACTGAATTAATCTTTCTAAGTTTTAAATGTTATGAGGTAAATCTCCAGTGAATACTTCTGTTCCTCTAAAGGCCCAATCTTACTGATAAATATAGTTTGTTATGTACTTACATGTATATATGGCTGTATACACACTTATGTATATTTCTTCATTAATATTTATGCTACTCAAATTTCACAGACATGTACCCATATGTATAAGGAATAAGCAAATGAACATGACTGATGCTTAAATACGAACTTTTTTTTAAATTAAAGGTAAGTCTACACTATTTTATGTATAGTTGTAGATGCTAAATAAGTGGAAAAATTTTAAACACTAGACATTTAGAAATCTAGAGGTTGATGTATATCTCTCATTTCAATGTCTCACACGCCTGCTGGAGCACTACTACATTCCAGCAATAAAAGCAGCCAAGATTTGGAGAATAAATTAATGTCAGGCAATGGTAATGTCTTTCTAGGGGCACTCTGTGAGGCTTTATTAAATGTCTTTTTCAATAATTGCCTATTAAAAATGAATAAAATGTACTAGTATATAAAAATCAGAGTGAATAATACATCTTTAGGTAAATATAAACTGCATGCAGTAAATGATAGGTCAGTTATGTGAGCCTATCAATCATGAAAATGATTTGAATAACGAATGCAGCAAAGTTCAATTTGGACTTGGTAGGGAAGCCAAGGGGAGAGATTGATAAGAGTTTAATTGGAAGGAACATACAATGCACATGTGCTTATAAAATGCAACATAAAAAATCTCCTATGATCACATTTCCCTTACGTAGGAAGACTGAAAGTAATGTTTCCATGGACCTATGCCACATAAAACTTGATTTAGTATGTCTTAACAGAGAAGTTTTCATTCTCAGGCTCTTCGTAAGCTCAGCCATTGTGCAACATACTTTAACACAGCTAAGTGACTCCCTTTCAGACCTTTCCTTCTGACTTATATTCAGTTACCTAAGCTTGACCATAACCAAGAGAAGGATTCCACAGGTGACTGTCATGCACATGGCAGCATAGATTACTTCTCCTAGGGAAAAAAAAAAAAAAAAAAGATTAAGAAAAGATAGCCACTGGATTTTTAGAGGAAATAAATAATATAAATATTATAGAGGATTTATTTTTAACTGACCATTGAAGGGGGACTGAAATCCAGTTAAAGTGATTTTGTTTGTATGTTTTCTTGTATACAATGCCATGCTTTGGACATTAGACAGGGTTGGATAATCTGAAAGAAAATCACAAATGAAAGAAAATGAGATTAAAGTACTTACATATCATACGTTATTTTAATTTTATGGATGACAATTTGCTTTATCTTATAAGGCAGCAATTTATTTCTATTACATTATTTTAATCTGATAGATTTGAATAAAACAATTTTCTTAAATTTTAACAGCCTGTTTTTCCCCTTTTAATCAGATAATTTCCCTATATAAGCTTTTATTTTTTTCAAACCAAGATTAGTACAATGATTATATTTTATAACATAAATCATTGTATCTTATATACAGACAAGAAAAATAAAAGATAGTAACTTTAGGCCATCCTTTGGGATATTGAAAAAGATCCTTTCTTTAAAAAAGTGATTGTTTTAATGTACCCCTGCACTCAGATACTGGAATACCTACTTTTGCTTAATTCCCTTGTTCTGTCTCTTTTTCTCTCCGTTAGCTAAACCTTCAGTTTCTCCTGTTAGCTATATTTGCCTCCCTTCAGAGCTATTTCTGGTCATTCTGAGGCACTAGTCTTCTTGGTCATGTTTCTGAGAAATACATTCCCATCAGTTTCCAATAGCCTCACAACTCTAGAAATCATGCTTTAGAGTGGCCAGGTCATAAAAACAAATCTGTTCCTGTGAGAACGGTCTTTTCTCTGGCTATTGTACTTTAACGACAGAAATATACAATTGTTAAAACTAACTGATACATCTCTTTTAGGTGATTTTTATCAATAACTTTAAAGTGAAATCACTCCTAGTTTTCCTTAATTAGAGACAAATATGAATGTCAAACATACCAATAGTTTAGTAACCAATTTATGTAATGAAGGTAAAAGTTGGTTTTGAGGCAGTAAGAAAAATGAGATAAAGCTTTCACTTTAGAGAGGTTTTGCTGTCTTCTGTCATAGACGTTTCATTGCATTTTTGAGACCTGACACTAACTATGAGTAGACAGTTGTTTACAAAAATGGAAGTATCAAACAGTGGGATATTATATCTGATGAAAACTAGTGACAACAAGCTCTGAGCAGGAAGGGAGATAAGAAAATCTATAGTCAAGCATTGCTTAATGATGGGGATATATGCTGAAAAATGCAGGCTTAGTCGATTTAGTGCTTGTGTGAACATCATAGAGTATACTTACACCAAGGTATAGCCTACCACATGCCTAGGTTATATAACATAGCCTTTGCTTTTAGGCTACAACCACGCACAGTGTATGCTATTGTACTAAATACTTTAGGCAAGTTTAACACAGTGGTAAATATTTGTGCATTTAAACATCTAAACATAGAAATGATACTATAAAAAATACAGTATTATAATTTTATGGGACCACTGATGTATAGTCTGTCTGTCGTTGACCAGAACGTCCTCATGAGGTACATGCCTTTATGACCAAATGTTCCACTCAGTTCTCTCTCCACCCAGGGCTGCTGCTGTTCAGAAGACAGCTTATTGGGAGCCAAGATTTGAGCACTGTGTTAACAATAATCGGTATACTGATACATTGGAGTTTCAGACCAGTAATAAACCTCCCACAGTGGGTCACAAAGAAGCAGCCCAATACAGGACTAGAAAAGTAACTGAGAATTTTGTCATTAGAAAACTCATTCTCAGGGGGTCTGAACTCAAACACAGTTAAGGCATTTTTTAAAACAGTTTTAGCCTCCAACTTGCATATTGGATTATCATCTATTTAAGAAGCTTCCAGTGTGGCTGATGACTGTAAAACCAGCACTTTGGAAGGCTAAGGTGGTAAGATCACTTGAGCCCAGGAGTTTGAAACCAGCCTGGCCACCATAGCAAGACCCCATCTCTAAAACTTTAAAGATTAGCTGGGCATGGTGGTGCACACCTGTAGTCTAAATTCTCTGGAGGCTGAGGTGTGAGGATCACTTGAGTCCGGGAGTTCCAGATTGCAGTAGTTGTGATCAAGCCACTACACTCCAGCCTGGGTGAAAAAGCAAGACTCTGACTCTAGAAAAAGAAAAAAAGCCTCCCCCTTGTTAGAATGAAAAATAAACCACTTAAAAATGTAATAGTAATAGAGGTAGAAATTGTGAATTATTTTTTACTTTGTGATTGTAAAATAACTTTTTTATTCACTATAAAGTTGAAAGGGGAAAACTGAGAAATTTTAATTTAATTTTAATTTTTTAATAAGGGGTCCTTGAAAAAAATTAATTGTAATCACATTGATCATATAGACTTTTAGTAAAATAAATGATCACAATAAAATTGTGTATTTAAATCAATTCAGAATATAAAGAAACAATAGTTTTACTTCTTTGTAAGTTCTATGGCCTTTTAAATAAAAGTTGTAGCTATATTCATGGTCTAAATATATACAATATACCTTAGATGATTAATTATCTAAATGATGCTATGGTTTTTCCTTATGAAATTCTATCCCTAAGTACACTTAGTCTAGCTGAGTGTTACAGTTCACCTTTGCAAAAGAAAAAAAGTATTATTTTGAAACAAAAAAGGCTTTTTTTAGATAAGTAATTGCCTTAAGTAATTGTTAAACACTCACCTAGCAGAGTTTAGAATCATCTCATTTACCAAACTCCTCTCACATGGAACTCATTAACAACGTTATAATAGATCAATGACAGAAATGTTAGCTAATTATCCCAGTGAAAATTTAAATGCGACTAGCAATCACTCCACAATCTTAAATATTGCACCCTAGGAGGATACCGAATATCAGTTAGAGAGATTAATGTTACTGAGGGTTTCTCGGCTACTGAAGCCCACTGGAGTTCCTTCCCTGCCTTTTATAAACAGTGAGGTTTATAGCGTTTTATAACCATGAAATTAAAGTCAGCAAAGTTGATAACTAACCTCAGTCCCACACCATCTGCTCTATTTATAGATAAACACGGTCAGTGACTTGTTTATCTTAATTTGTACCCTGGAGAAATTAAACATGATTATGAACTATATTGTAAAATCCCTGTGCATTTGATGGGAAATCAAGATTAATTTCAATCTTGCATTAGGAACAAATTTAGAAAGTATTCTCCCCAAATGAGCTATGGAGAGGTGAGCATTATTATTTCTTTTTTTCCCCAAAATCCTTGTGCAACAGTAGTTGAGAGTTCATGGGGACTGAAACTCTGCTTGTATAATTCATATGAAACAGTAAATGCATGGTAAAAGTTATGGTTGATCAGAGACGAAGCAATGACTTAGAAATAAATGTCAGAATACTTGAGATATAATTTGAAATAGAGATTAAACATATCACAAACTGCAAACTTATAAACCTTCATTTCATTTTAATTAAAATATAATTTAGAAGAGTCAGCTTTGGGGAAAAAAATGCCTGTATCCAGAATGAGTTTCATGGGAAAAAAAATAAGTTCACAAAATTGAACAGTAATTTTTACCTTGAATTATATTACACAAGCACTAGGTGAATTTGTAATAAATATGACAAATGAAAGAATAAAAATAGTTTGTACTATAATTTATAAATTTCAAAACTTTATATTTCATATTTGGAGGTTTTCAATTTATGGAATGTTTTCAATGAAAAAATACATAAGTGACAGCACCATTGATTGTCCAGAAAAGTTTTGATGTCTTCATTTGACATTGAATAATTCACTAATGTCTACCCTTTGGAAAATGTGCAAAATTTTGCCTAGCTGGCTTTTATATATATATATATATATATATATTTTTTTTTTTTTTTTTTTTTTTTTTTTTTTTTTTTTCTCCATAGGCTGATTGGAAACAACAGGGGAGAGTTAGGAAAAAATAAAAGAAAGACGTATCTTTTGGAGAGTGTTCATAGTCATTTGGAATGATGAGATAATACAGAAAGTTTTATAAATTACTGAGTTTTGAAATGGGGAACCTCCATCAGAAAGAATGCACAATTGTAATGAGAATAGAAGGGAAAGCAAGGATAAAATATGGGATTTCTTTTTGGTTCTTTTTCTCATTTTTCTTCCTTTCCTCCTTCCCCTCCTTCTCTCATTCCTGTCTTTCTTCAAAAGTATTTAGTGAGCATTTACTATTAACACACAGTGGAGATTTTTTAAAAAGTTATCCACGTGTACTTTTTCAGTATTGTTGAGTGTGGTGTGAAAATACACCAGATTTGATGTCTTCGCTGTCAGTCCCCAAAGACCACTTAAAGCTGACGGTTCAGGAACCATTTTGTTACCTCTAATTTTCCTTCCTTTCTCATTAGTACATCTTCAAGCCATCTTGAAAAGATCCCACACTACTGCATTAAACTGTCAATATGACATCTACCTTCCACTTTTTGTGACTATCCTTCAGTAGCCTAATGTCTTGAAATAGTTGTCTTGATAATTGTCTCTGTTCCTCAACCCATTTCACTTTACAACCTTTCCAAACAGGTTTTTGCTTCACTGTTCCACTGAAATTATTTCAAGATCAGCTAAGGCCTACTTGGTCATTTCAAATATTCTTCTTCATTGGCTTCTTCTGCTGTCTTCAACTTCTAAAGGCTGGAGTTCAGTCCCAGCCCTTCCCTTCAATATGATTCAGTCCTGTCCCTCCCCTTTAGTAAGAAGAAATCTAATAATCTCACTGAGTGGCCTCAATTTTTCAATGATTTTAAGTAAACTACAGATTCATATTGAGCTACCTTCTTGATATTTTTGCTTGCATATCTGATAACCATCTCAAATTTAACAAGTTCTAAATTAAATTTAGGTTTCCTCTTACTATACTAACTTCTCTCACAGTGTTTCTCATCTCAGTACATGATATAGCCCATCCACATCATTCAGGTAATCTGACAATTATCCTAGATTTTTTCCCTTCTTTCAATTGTGTATCCCATTAGCCAGTTTGTCTTCTTGATTTTACATAAATGGGTATCTTTATTCTTCCTCACTGCAAACTCCACTGAACTAGCTAAAGTGATCATGATATCCCAGCATAGGTGCTTCAATAAATACCCCCAATAATCTCAACTTTTTTCCTGTTTTCACTTCTGCCTGACTCCTGTGAAAGCA